AAAAAACAGATTTTCAGTTATGTCAAAGAAAGGGTTGTTAAACGCATCTCTAATGGGAAAAATAAATTGTTATTTGTAGCGGGGAGAGAAATTCTTATTAAATCTATAGAGCAGGCAATTCCAACTTACATTATGAGTTGTTTCAAGCTACCGGATTCCATTTGTCATGAAATTGACTGTGATTGCACAATTTTGGTGGGGTGGAAATGGCAAGGATTAAAAAATCCATTGGAAGAATTGGAAATAGATGTGTGAATCTAAATTTTTAGGAGGAATGGGTTTCAGAGATATCAAGTGTTTCAATTTAGTCATGCTGGAGAAGTAGGGTTGGAGACTCCAAATGAAAGAACCTACTCTTGCTTACAAAGTTCTTAAAGAAAGATACTTCCTTACTACAGATTTTTTAAATGCTCCAATTGGTGCTAACCCAAGCTATTTATGGAGAAGCATTCGGGGAAGTCAACAAATAGTTAGCAAGGGTTTAATCTGGAGAGTAGGTGATGGTCAGAGTATTAGCGTTTTAAAGGATAATTGGATTCCGTATGAGTCACTTAGGCTTTTCACTTTTTCTGATCACTCAATTGATGACGGTATGAAGGTGTCGGAGTTGATTAATCACAGAACTGTGACATGGTACGAAGAGAAAATCATTACTTTGTTACCTCCTTACGAACGTGGTTTGATTTTGTCAATTCCTTTGAGCTATCGACGACCTATTGATAAACAGGTTTGGTTCTATAATAGGCATGGCCATTATTCTGTGAATTTGGGGTATAAAATGGCTCATTCTTCTATGTCGTTGCATGATGCTGGAAGTTCCAGTAGAAATTTGATGGGTTTTTGGAAACAAATTTGGCATCTAAACATACCAAGGAAAGTCATTTTGTTCTTGTGGAAGGCAATTAACGGTATCCTCCCAACTCCTCAAGCATTAACTCAAAGGCTCATTATAACCGAGTGTAATTGCCCATCTTGTGACAATAAGATGGAAATAGCTTTCCATTGTCTCTGCTGTTGCCCGCTAGCTAGGGCAGTATGGTTAATCTCAAAATGGGGTTTCAGGCAATTAGAGGTGATGTTTTCTTCTATGCAAGACGGCATATTTCATTCATTCAACATGATGAAGAAAAGAGAGGTTGAAGAAATTGTGAGTGTCCTATGGGCTTTATGGAAAGCACGCAATATGGAGATCTTCAAGAACAAGAGTTATGAGCCGCTGCAAGTAATAGAGTTAGCTGGCAAATTGATAGAGCAATACAGGTTTGTTGAAGGGGTAAGGACAAGGAGGACGAACTCTCAACAACATAGAACACGGAAATGGGGAGCGCCAAGAGAAAGAAAACTGAATGTGGATGCAACTATATTTGAGATAACAGGGGAAAGGTGGCTGGGAGCTGGCTTTGTTGTTCGTAATGTATTAGGGGAGGTTGAATTAGCTGGCACGAGAAGAATGCTAACGGGTCAAACGGTGGAGGAAGCTGAATTAGTCGCCTTAGCTTGGTCTCTGCGTTGCTGCCAAAGGGAGGCTATTATGATAAAGGAGATTGAAATGGATTGCAAGGTGGTCGTTGATTGGATCAAAGGAAGACACTTGTTTGGTGTCTTGGGCCACATTGTAGAAGACTGCCTTAATCTAATGATAAGCATTGATTGTGATGCTATTCTCCATTGTCCAAGAGAGGGTAATGAAGTGGCGCATTTGTTGGCTAAAAGGGCTAAAGACATGAGTGAGGAAGCGGTGGCTTGGTTTGATTTATCTCACATGCCTAATGATATTCAACTTGTTATCATTAGAGAGGCTAGACTTTCATTTGAAGGTGGTTAGGTTGAGGATGCATATTGTAATCCCAATGATTATATGGTTCAAAGGGTACTCTTTTCCTTAACTCATGGTTTTTATCCCTCAGGGTTTTTCCATGAAAAGGTTTTTAATGAGGCTCTTTAACCATGTGAAGGGAAGATTTCCTACTCTTTATATATCTATATGTCAAATGTAATTCAATTTGATGAGGTAATGAAATCATATTTCACTCCAAAAAAAAAAAATCTTTATTTCTTGCAGCAATTTTGATTTGGCATCATAAAGGAAAAACCAAATAAGAAAAAACAATTTATCATGCTTCAAAACAACAAAACAATCGTGCATGTTTATTCAGCTCTGAATAAACTCTATCATTTTAATTTTGCTAAAAATATGTTGAATTCAGCAGAATTCGTCCCAAGCGCAGATTGAAGATCGACCTCGGAAGGCTCCGAGAGGCAAACTACAACTTGCAAATGGAAAGACATTTCAAACGTTTGTACGACTTAGAAGTCATGACAAAGGCTGTCTGCCATTAATTATTGAACCATTTTCTCCATATCATTATCTGTCAATTGACTCCTACTAGTCTCTCCATGATCATACCCCACTTTCCCACACAACAAACGCGGGTTAGCCGTTTTCCTTCTACCTGTATGCGTATAATCTGTCAAATTATACCGTCATTTTCTCTAGTTTATATTTCTTTAATTATTTGTTGAAGAAATAAATATCTGATAATGATACATGTCTTCAGAAACCAAATTATACGTCTTAGATGTTGACGACTCAAGTCAGTGGTCCAGTAATTATATGAGTTTTATCATTCAAAGTCTTCTTTTTGTTTCTTCTATATGACTGTCACTACAAGTTCGATTTCTGAAATCCAGCATTTCAAGAAGAGAAAGTGAAAGTTGGACGGCAAATAAGCATGAAATTTCCCGAAAATTTCTTGGTTCTTGACTTTTCTTTGCCAGCTGCCTCAATCGGTTTCCTAGTCTCTCTCGACTGATAATTGTTTAGAGCAAGCTTCTTCATCTTCTATTTTATTTCCTTTTCTGATTTTATTTTTTTCTCATGCCCGCCATGAAGAACACCAAAAAGGGGTATGTTTCCTCGCAAAAACTTTCTATCCCAGCCCCTTTCTTGCTCTTGCTCTAGAACCTGAATATCTCAGCCGCATACACTGCTCCTGACAACATAGCACTCGACTCTGGCTCAAACAGTAACTACAATGATTCCACTCCGCGATTGTGGCCTGGATATGCTAAATATTTAGATCAGTCCAAAAATACGGAAATAGTTGTGTCAAGTGCTTCAAGTACGCAAATAGACATACCTTATAAAACTGCACGCCTCTCTCTCTCAATTTGGCTACTCGTTTAACGTGACACCAGGACAAAAAATCGTTCGTCTTCACTTTTATCCCCCGTCATACCTTATAAAACTTTTATGACACTCACTATTGGAATTGCTTTCGGGTGCAGTTTAGATTTTTTATATTGTACTCATACAACGCTTTATGCATTTCATCTGTAATTGTTGATTTTTTTATACTTTTGAGACGAGAAGTTATTATATTTAATTTTACCGTTTGTGATATTATATGTTTTTTTTATAAATGTTTTAATTTGACTTAATATTCATGAAGTATATTAATTAAGTTTACATCGAATATAATTTTAGTTTGTTGCAAAAATAGATAGATTCATAATTTGTATTTAATAAGATTAATTACGCTCATAAACTTGTTTTAGTTAAACAAATATATAGAATGATAATAATTTATAATTCAGTAATTAGATAATCTATAGAATAATGGCAAAGTATGGTGTCAATAATAACACATTATGTTCCGCCTTATGGTGACTTGACTTCAATGGTTTATTGATTTCGACCTCTCTTGTAGTTCTTTCTCTCTGATTATGGATTACCACACCTTGTTTCATTCATTATTGTATGGTTACTCTTTGCTGCACTGTTTTTTCGTTCATTTTGTAGGTAGGGGCTGTCAGGCTTTTTCTTTTGTTTATGTTCTTTGCAACAGGGAGTACCTTTCATCTGTTGCTTGCAGTTGCTGGTCTTATGGCTTACAGGCCTTCTTTTGTACCTACTAATTAATTATAATAAATGACTTAGTAAAACAAAAAAAATTAGATAATATTTGTATAACCACAATACACAATAAATATATTAAGTTCAATGTTTTGAAAAAACCAAAAAGAATATCTTGATGAATTAATTTTTTATTAATTAATATATAAATTAATAAATTATTAATTTCTTGATTAAATAATATTTTAATTAATTAATTAATTTTCATAATTAAAAATATATTAATTTGTAGTGGTTTTAGGGTATATGTAATCTAGAATGCGTATTATTCAATTTATAAAAGCTTTTTAAAATCTCTATTTCTTGCAGGAATTTTGATTGGCATCGTAAAGGAAAAACCAAATAAAATAACACTTTGTCATTCTTCAAAAGAACAACAATCGTGCATGTTGATTCATCTTTGAATAAACTCGATCATTTTAATCAGCAAAATTGGTCCCAAGTGCTCATTGAAGAACGACCTTGGTAGGGTCCGAGAGGCAAATTACAACTTGCAAATGCAAAGACATTTCAAACGATTGGACGACTTAGAAGTCATGACAAAGACATTGTTAATTATTGAACCATTTGCTCCATATCACTCTCTGCCATTGACTCTTACCAGTCTCTGGATCATACCCCACTTTCCCACACAACAAACGCGGGTTAGCCTTTGCCCGTTGCCTGTACGCATATGATCTGTCAAATTATACCGTCATTTTCTCCAGTTTATTTTTCTTTAATTATTGGTTGAAGAAATAAATATGAAATAATGATTGACGTCTTCAGAGACCAAATTATACGTCTTAGAAGTTGACGACTTAAGTCAGTGGTCCAGTAATTATATAGTTTGATCATTCAAAGTCTTCTTTTTGGTTGTTCTATATGACAGTCACTGCAATTTCGATTTCTGAAATCCAGCATTTCATGAAAGGAAAGTGCAAGTTGGAAGGGAGATAAGCACGAAATTTCCCAAAACTTTCTTGGTTCTTGACTTTTCTTTGCCGCCTGTCTCAATCGTTTTCGTCATCTCTCGACTGATAATTGTTTAGAGCAAGCTTCTTCATCTTCTCTTTTAATTCCTTTTCTGATATTAATTTTTCTCATGCCGGCCATGAAGAACATCAAAAGAGGGTGTGTTTCTTTGAAAAAACTTTCAATCCCAGCCCCTTTCTACTTGATGTTCTTGCTCCAAAACCTGAACATCTCAGCCGCATACACTCCTCCTGATAACATAGCACTCGACTGTGGTTCGGTCGCCAACAACAATGATTCCACTCCGCGGTTGTGGCTTGCAGATGCTAAATATTTAGATCAGCCCAAAAATATTGAAACAGTTGTTTCAAATGTTTTAGGTACATATATAGACCCCATACCTTATAAAACTGCACGGCTCTCTCACTCTCATTTTAGCTACACGTTTAACGTGACACCAGGACAAAAATTCGTTCGCCTTCACTTTTATCCCACTTCATACCAAGAATTTAACCGTTCAACTGCTCTTTTCGATGTCCATATCGGCCGTTATACCCTCCTAAGCAACTTTAGCGCGGCCCTCACAGCTGATAATCTTAAATTAAAAGCCTTTTCTAAAGAATTTTGCATAAATGTTGAAGATAATCAAAAGCTGAAGATATCGTTCACTTCGAATCGCAGTATGCCTGATTTATATGCTTTCATCAACGGAATTGAAATTGTGTCCATGCCCGATAATCTTTATTATTCTGCAGACAATGACACGGGGTTTTTGTTTGTTAACGAGTTGACTTTCACCCGCATCGAAAAGAACATGGCTCTTGAGATGGTATACCGAACAAATGTGGGCGGTAAATTCCTTCCATCTCCAGAAGATACAGGTATGCATAGGAGTTGGTCTACGGACGTCGATTACTTGACTGATGATGGACCTAGTGCTGTTCCTATTAATACTAGCATAAAGCTCAATTTCAGCAAGATACGCAATTACACAGCACCAGTCCCAATTTATGTAACTGGCAGGTTGATGGGGACTGACAAGACTATGAATGGGAACTATAGACTCACTTGGCAATTTCAAGTTGATGGATTCATTTACCTAGTCAGGCTACACTTTTGTGAGTTCCAGACAGAAATAACAGCCGCGGGAGACAGAATATTTCAGATCTACATACACGATCTGGTGGCTGAAAATGAAGCAGATGTTGTTAGTTGGGCTGGAGGATCAAGGATTCCTGTGTATCGCGATTATGCTGTTATGATTGCCAGTGGCGGCAAAGCAGGAAACCAAAAGAAAACAAATCTATCGATTGCGCTACATCCTGGCCCAGTTCTGGAGACTTTGTATTCTGATGCTATATTGAATGGGCTAGAAATCTTCAAATTGAGCAATGATGGAAATCTCGCAGGACCTAATCCTGACCCAGATCTGAACCTGCAGATGAGTCCGCCAAGCGGTGCATCACCGAGTCGATTAGTGAAGCCCAAGAACGACAAGGCAGCAAAAATTACCGCTGTCGGTGGAGTAGCTGGGCTTTTTACAATTTCTCTTTTATGTTTCATGATTTCACAGTTTGGCTCTGTTCACTGCAATTCATGGTGTGCACTGTCTTTTTGTTCCAAGACCGAGCCTAACTCTTCGTATGGCCCTGTTCTACCATCTAATATTTGTCGTCACTTCTCACTAGGAGAGATCAAAACAGCTACCAATAACTTTGAAAATACTTCCGTTATTGGTGCAGGAGGGTTCGGTAATGTATACAAAGCGTTCATTGATGGTGGGTCAAAAGCAGTCGCAATCAAACGGCAGAATCCAGGGTCCCAACAGGGTGCACATGAGTTCAGGACTGAAATTGAGATGCTGTCCCAGCTCCGACACCATAATCTAGTTTCTCTAATTGGTTATTGCGATGACAATAACGAGATGATCCTTGTGTATGACTACATGGTTCATGGGGCCCTGCGAGACCACCTCTACAAGACCAGTAACCTTCAGTTAGATTGGAAACAGAGGCTCAGGATATGCATTGGGGCTGCACATGGGCTCCATTATCTCCACAGGGGTCCCAACCACACTATCATTCACCGAGATGTGAAGACTACAAATATACTGCTGGGTGAGAAATGGGTAGCCAAAGTATCTGATTTTGGGTTGTCTAAGATGAATAACCTGTCCAAGACCCATATCAGCACTGTCGTCAAAGGGAGTTTTGGCTATTTAGACCCTGAATACTATCGACTGCTGCGGCTAACTGAGAAATCTGATGTGTACTCTTTTGGTGTGGTGTTGTGTGAAGTATTATGCGCTAGAGCACCAATAAATCCAACGTTGGATCGTATGCAAATAAGTTTAGTAGAGTGGGCACAACATTGCTATAACAATGGAACCCTTGATCAGATAATTGATCCTCATTTACAAGGTAAGATCAACCCTGCAAGTCTGGAAAAATTTGCCGAAGTAGCTATAAATTGCTTGGCTTCCGAGGGGATTAAACGGCCGGCAATGAGTGAAGTGGTGTGCGGACTTGAGCTTGCATTGGAGCTGCAGGAGCGTGAGATGAATGCAAATGCTGAGAATCATTTAAATGATTCAACAGTCATTGATTATCATGTCTTGTTTACTAGTGGTAGCGGATCAATGAATACTGGTCGCTAGGATCGATGCTTTAATTGTGTGCCATATAAATCTTTCCATCTTTTCGTGAACAAGAAACAGGTTTATATAGTATAAGTGTTAGTTTAGCTATATATATATATATATATATATATTTTGATAAGCAAAGAATTTATATATCTGATGGGGGTTACCATAAGGCATAACCCACCATCCAAAAAGGTACAAAAGTAATCTGTAGTCTATACCAAACCTTTCCTATGAAGGAAAAACAAACTACATCAAGCCTTCCAATCTGTACACAAAGTAATTTTTTTTGCTAAGCCATGAACTATTTCATTGATACAATAATTCAATGGGGTTACATAAGTTTGTAACCATACGTAGCAAACAAAGAGCTTGACCCATATAAACCATCCACCCTATACAACCATTACCTAAACCCTCTCTTACAAAATGAAAGCTCACCCTGTACTGTTCCAATCTATACTAGAAACATTTCTCCAAAAAGATGTACTTAGCCAAAAAGAGTTCTTCAGTCATCAACAGGTAATTTCACTAAGAAAAAGTATATCCCAACAAAACCACACAAATCATTAACCACACCTCAGACTTTGATCTGCAACCCAAATAATGGCAATAACCTGTAAATCCACCCAACAACTATTTTACCAGCATCCATTGCATAAATGACAACCTCATCAAACATACAAAAGCAACAATTCCCTGTTGTGAAACCAACCACCCATTAAAGCAGACAAGCTAAAGAGACAACCTACTATTGTTTGTAAGGGATCATTCAAAGAAGACAAGACCCGTCAAGTCCACACCACCAGCAACTTTTGTCTTATGATACCTGTCTTCATCAAATGATCTGCACAGTCATTTGCTTTTGTTAATGTGTTTTTCACATGAATCGATCCTATCAAATCCTTTCGCTTATCAAGAATTTGAAAGTCCCTCCACCATCTCCATGGTCCTACCCGTACATTACCAAACCAAGCGGTAGTAATTAGAGAATCAGTTTCAATAATCAAAGATTTAATACCTAACCATTTTGACTAACAGAAACTCTTCAAGGCAATACAAATTGCACTCAGCTCTGCGAAGTTCAAGTCTGGCACCCCTATAGAACCAGGGAATAGTGCTCACCGCACGCCCTCCTTATTCCTTAATACCCTTCCTATGCCCATTGGTCCCGGTTCCCCTTTGAAGATCTATCCATGTTGAACTTCAGAAAATTTCTATTTGGAGGTTTCCGCACTTCTTTCTTCCTTTTTTCTCTCCTTCTCCTCTTTAAACACAATCCCCTCTTTTGGGCTTAGCTAGCATCCGGACTCTGTAATGGGTACATCCCTCTCCAAAGCCCTAACTCAATGGAAAGTTCTCATCTTCAGTAATCTTACTAACTCCTCCACTTTCAACTCTTTTTTATCAAAGACTACCTCGTTTCTTGCCCCCCAAACAGATCACATTGTCTCATCCCATATATATGGTCATTCCTCTCTTTCTCTAATGTTCACCTTTCCCCATGCCCTCACATTGTCCCGTATAAATAATTAAATTTATTTTTTTCAAATCAAAGTACTTGACTAGAAATGACAACCTTGATTGGTATTGTATTCGTTGGGTTAGACTAGAATATTGCACTCTTATAAAGGTTTGAATCATTTATATGTATCAACAACTTGAATTTCAATTTTTGGAGACTTAGGATTTAGGCTCCTTGGTAAATCATGTGTTATCTCAATGTAAAACTCACATTCTGCTTATGTGACATTGGTGTTTATATATGAATGTGAATCTTCAGTGAGACTAAGATTAGAACATTTTGGATTTGAGGAATGAATTATATGGTAGGAATGGCATGATTAGAGTATCAACGTATCGAAATAACAAAAATTGAAATAAAATGAAAACCATACTTTCTATCTTTGGATAATTTTGGTTGTTTAATACAAAGTTAAACACCATAGAAAATCAAAAAAAGGTTTTACCTTTCCAAATGATATCGTAATCAAATGAATTTCTTTTGGGGTTGAATAACGTGAACACCTTCTTGTGTGAAAGAATTCTAGCCACTCAAACGTTTGGTCTTCAATGTTACACATACGATTGCAACGGATCCTTCTTAAGGAGAGAGCTTTATGTCACGTGCTTGTACTAACAACTGGACAACGATTTGTTCTCATTTCTTCTTTGATTTCCAGCAAAGAATCAATGGAGAAATTTTTTGAAAAACCCTCTCAAGAGTGGCAGCACTCAAGAGAAAAATGAATATATTTTTTTTAGTTGCTTCAGAAAAGAGTGGTTATAATGTGATATTTTTTTCTAGGTTTAATTTTATTATTAGATTTATTAAAATTTACAAAATAAGTCCTTAATATTATAGCAATTATAATATTTAACTAATGCCTAATCAAACTCTTTGAATTAGGTCCTTAGTAGAAGAAAACTAGAATTTGATTTAAATTTAACTTAAATCATCACACTCTCAAATTAATCCAAATTGAAACCTATGTGTGTGATCCATTAGATTCCTAACATGTTGGTAATGGAATTGAATTATAATGTTTTTAATTAATTAATTTAAATGAATCGTATTCAATTTTAAATTAACTAATTTAATTTCATAAACCAAGATTGGTATCTAACAATGCATAACAGCTATCCAATTGTTAAGAGAGTCAAAGGATTCTTGGACAACCTTTCAATGTACAATTTATTAGTGTAATTCATTCTCTTATCATATATCCCAGAGATGATAAGAGCTTATTGACTTCCATATTTGCTCTTGCAATTAGATCATTAGTTTTATGGAGACTTATGAAACTCATTCCATAATCTCCTAATCACCTTAGCCAAGGATTTGATTAAGGTAATATCAATCAAGAACTAATGAGATATTTCTCCTTGAAATATTTGGAGTGATGATTTCTATCTTGACCACTCATTACCTTCATATGCTTCATATTATTCTAAAAAACATAATGTTTTGGCATTCTTGGTTAGGCACCCCTAAGGATGAAATCAAAGTATAGTACTACATATACAAAATAATTTGGTGTCTCAAGTCTAGGGAGTAGTTACACAACTAACATGAGAAATATTGCATAGACACTTGAGTGAGATACCAAATGCACTTCTTATGGTAGGTCATGTTTAGTGAACTCGCTTTCTTATGGCAAACACCCACATGCTAGTTCCAAGTATCTCTATACTTCAACCTATGAAAGTGTTTGCTTACTTCACAAGTAAAGAACATAGCATGTGATGATCTTTGTGTATCATTGATGTCCCGTCTCAATAATACAATGATCATAAGCTTTTAAGAATAATGCTTTGATGCATAAGGATCTCATAAGTGTATCCCAATACCATTCCTTCACAAGGCATATATAGTTCCATGAGCTTTATTTACATAAGTACAAAAAGTAATTAAATTAGAAACTTTTGGATAAAAAACTACCCCATAATTATTATAAATAATAAAATGTCATACATGAATAGCTCAAAATGTAATTCCTATATGACTAGAGATTAGCTTGCAAGTCTCATTCTAAGATTATAATATTTTAGCTCACATCAAATATGAATACAATATAAAAGTTTAAATAAAAAATTTAAGCTTTTTATGAGTTGATGGTTTGGACTTGAAAAGTTATTGAGTCAATTATTCTTAGGCCCGAAATTCATATGAAGCAGAAGGCATAATGATGAAAACTACATTACTTAGTTATTTGATGGCCTTAAAATAATAATATACTATATGCATATTGAACTGGACCAAAAGAAAATAAGAAAACAAAAAGAAGTTAGGCAGAGCGCAGTGGATAAATCATGGTCATGCATTTGGCTTGAGACATCCTCACTTATAGGTGCCGCATGTATCTGGCGCGGGGTGTCGGTTTAGGACGAGGGAGGCAGCTGCCATAGGATTTTCTCCTATCACACGTTTTCAAAACAGCTTCATCAGCGGTGAGGGCACCAAAAGTCACAAAGGACTCGTCATCATCAACAAGCATCCTTCCCATTTTAGAGCTATTTAAGAACTCCAACTCCATGTTGCCAGCGATGGTTGCATAGAGGCCATGGAAATCCTTCAGTACTGAAGCACTGGTTGCTCCGGATGGGCTTGTTTTGAGCAGAATCATAAGGGTTATTAACAGGATTCCAAGAGAAAAACCCTTCCTCATTGAAACTTCCGTGTTTCTTTGATTCTCCGTTTTCGATTTACTGCCAATCCTTTCGCATGGTGAAGCTCATTTCCCATGGAAAAGGACCTCTAAGAAAAAAATAGTGGTTGGAGTTTGTGTGAACAGAAGAACAATTGATTTTTCTGCCTCCATGTTATGCCCCGTTGTCCCTAAATGCTTGCCACTTTATCTGTTAAGTTAATTTTCAATTGCATAAATAAATACGGTATTAAACACTATTTCTTTAGATCCTTGTTTATAGAGCCAAATGTTCAGACTTGCAAAGGAAAAAAGTATTCACTGTGATGGATCCTGATTGAATAGGACGGGCGAAAACTTTAGCTTGGGGTTTATCTTCGCAAATTCCTATTGTTCCACTAGTTGCATTTGATAAATTACAACCACTTTCTATATATGTTTTTTAATTTTAGTGAGGCTAAAAACCGAAATTCACTGAACTTTTTGGGGTGTTACTAATGCAACCTTTTTTTTTTTGGATTCCAGTGGGGGAAGCCGCTCTGCCCCACGAGAGATGGGTTCTTAAGAATTGATGGTCGATAGCAATGCCCAATTTGAGTCATTTGATTGGACATTGGTAAATGAAAGGGGTAATACTTTTAAGTGTGTATGCATTTTAGTGAAGGCCCTTTGTTCAGCAAGCCAATTAAATGTTTCTCCACTCAGATAGTGCTGATCAGTGCTCGGGAGTAGGTAACAGTAACAACTCATAAAAGATTTCGTTTTCATTCTTAATTAATTTATTAGGAGTCATTACTCTTTATATATCAAGCGATAACGTTGGTATTTACTAAAGATCATCTTTTTGTACAACCATGACGCATAATA